CGGTTGACAGAAATGCACCAGCAGCACTCCGCCCTCACTGCTGCAACGCCCGCTCGTCTTCCTGGTTCAGCCGCCCCAGCGCGCCCGCCTCGCCGCCGCCGCCGCCGGCAGCAGCTTGCTCCACCACCATTGTGGCGTAAATGCGGTCCACTGCAGTTTGGGAGTGTGTGTGTGTGCATGGTGTGTGTGTGTGTATACACGGGTGTGCGCCTGGCCAACCCACAGGCGACATGTCCCCGACTTGGGTTGCCCGCCTCTCCCGCCTCCAGGCGGCGACCCCCCGCTCACCGTGAGACATGCTGCCGGCCTTGCCGCAGCGCAGCCACTCCTGGCACTGCTGCACCTCTCGCCGCTGCACCTCGGCCATCACCTCAGCACCGATGCGCTCCTCGGCGCCCTCTGCGTGGCGTGCCCAGCACCGCAGCGGGCAGTCACGGTTTCCCAAGTCAGCCCCAGCAACAGCGCAGTGGATGCAGCTGGGCAGCAGGCAGGGTGCTCGCGCTAGGGACGCGCAGCCGGCCCGCCAGGCATGGGGCGCGGGGCGCTTGCGCAGGCCGGCCGCGCACCGTGGCTACGCAGCAGGGCGGCGAGCTGCCGTGGCGTCTGCACCGAGCGGCCGCCGTCTGGGAACCAGCTGCAGGTGAGGCGCGGGAAGATCCTGTGCACCACCACCAGCATCTGCGGCAGCGTGCCCCCCGCCTCGTCAAAACGGCTCAGGGGCACAAACACGCCGCGCTGGCGCAGGCGGCCCAGCTTGGCCCCCGCGGGAGCGGGGTGGGCACTGTTGGCGCCGATGCGGAGCACGGCTGCATCCAAGGAGCAGAAGGGAAGGAGGGAGGCGTGGCGGGAGTGGGAGCAGCCCAGCCATGGTTGAGAAAGTAAGCAGGCAGCAGGCCAGATGAGGAGCAATGGAGGCCAGAGGGCGGCGCAGACAGAGAGGGCGGCACGGCTAGCGTGGGGCCGGAGGCAGCAGCAGCGGCTGACCTGTGGCGGCCGCCTCCAGAGGGTCGGCTGGGCCGGGGGAAGCCAGCTCCGCGCCGCAGATGTGCAGCTTGGTGCCTGCGCAGCGGGCAGGCAAATGGCAGGGCGTCACCAAGGAAAAGGTCACGGCTGTGGTGTGTCCGCAAATGGAGCTGGGACGGCACGCCGACAGCAGGGCAAGCGGCCCCTCCGCGGGTGAGAGGGCCTCACCCTGGCTGATGCAGCCCCTCCGCGCCAGCAGCGTCAGCCGCTCGTCGCCAGAGGCACGGATCCAGTACCACCCATCTGTCAGCACAAGCTGCAGCACACACAAAACCAAGCAGAAGGCAGGGGAGCGGCCGGGCACGTCAAGCAGGCACGGCACGGCAGCACAGGCTGCAAACCGCTCCTTGCTACGAAGGGAGCGCAGGCTGATGAAGCGTCCCGCTCACCGTGACTCCAGGAGCAGGCTAGCTGCCACCCCCGCCACGGCCCGCGCCGCCGGGCAAAGCGCGCCCCGCCTGCTGCGGCTGCTGCTGCACGCCGCCGCTGCCCGGAGCGGGCAGCAGCACCGCCGCCACCATGAGCACCATGGCGGCAGAGGCCACCTCATCCTGCTGCAGCAGCGCCTTGAGAAGCGGGCGATGGCCGCGGTTGAACTCCCGCTCATACCTGCGGCGGAGCGTGCGGTGGGCCCGGCGTGAGGGTAAGGCTGGTGGTGGTGGCAGTGATGGCAGTGATGCCTCTATGTGTGTCTGTGTGTGTGTGTGACGGGATGTACGCAAGTTAGTAGGCATGGGCAAGGCGGCAGCAAGCCGGCACCTGAGTTTGAGCTCATCCAGCACGACAGCGGCGGTGAGCAGCGATGCGGGCGCGCTGCTGCCGCTCCCCGCCAGCAGCAGCTGCAGGCGGGCCAGCTTCCACACCACCCAGCGGTACTGGTTCTGCACCCAGCTGGCGGTGGCATAGGCGGAGTTGGCGCCGGCAGGTGCCTCGCTGGTGGCATCTGCCACCGGCGCTGGTACAGTGGGATCGCCGCTCTTGACCGCTGGCTCTTGCAGGTCTGTGACCCTAAACTCGCTGCAAGTGGTGCTGTCCAGTGGTAGCTGCTGCTGCTGCTGCTCCTCCTGCTGCCCACCTCGCTCCACGCTCTCACACCGAGCAGCTGCCTCTGCGCCTGGCCCCGCAGGCGGTGTAGCAGCAGCAGCGCCTGCCGCGGCGGCAGCGCTTGATGCCAGCAACCGCTTAAGGATGGAACCCTGCAGATCGTGCAGCTGAACCGCAGGATGGGGCGGCGCCCCCGCCAGCTCGCCGCCGCCGCCGCCGCCGCCGCCGCCCAGCCTGCTGACGGCCGTCTTGCCGGGCGGCTTGAACTTGCGGCTGGAGCCTGCCACCGGCAACTGGAAGGCCTTGCGCTTGCCCTTCAGCAGCCCAGTGGAAGCAGCCCCGGGCGCAAGCCTGCAGCAGGCACCACGGGCAGCCAGGCAGCGGCAGAGCTTGGGCACACCTCTGGACTACTGTGCACCGGCCACCTTGCAGGCAGCAGCAGCCCGGCGGCTGAGGGGTGTGATGCGCAGCACACCTGCGGAGTGCAGCCACTTTGCCCAGCTGGGGAGCAGAGGCGGGAGTGGTGGCAGCGCCGCCAGTGGGGCCGCCGGCGGCTGCTGCTGGCAGGCCTGCAGCAGGCGTCTGTGCACCCTCTGCGGCTGGCGCTGCCGCGGCAGGCGTGTCGCTGCCTCCCAGAGACACTCGCGACCTGAGCAGCTGCTTGCGGAGAAGGGGAGTGGACTCCCCTGCCGCTGCCGCTGCCGATGTTGCCTGCTGCCCCTCATTCTCGCTTGCGTTCTCCGCGCCCCCGCCGCCAAACTGCTGCTGCGCCGCCTTCAGGCGGGCAGCCGACACATTCACAGCACCGCCACGGCCTGTGCTGAATCCAAGCACCTGCACCGCCGCAGGCTGAGCACCCTGCTGCTTCTCCTGCCTCTCCACCAGTGCCTGCCCGGCTCCTGGCTGCTCCCCCGTGGCTGCATGGCTGCCGCCATCGGCCTGCCCGCCTGCAGCCTCATCCCCCTCGCCATACTGCTGCTGCGCTGTCTTCAGGCGGGCTGCTGAGACCTTAACGGCTCCGCCCCGGCCTGTGCTGAATCCGAGCACCTGCGCCGCCACAGGCTGAGCACCCTGCTGCTTCTCCTGCCCCTCAACAACAAGCAGTGCCTGCCCGACTCCTGGCTGCTCGATCTCCACTCCTGGCTGCTCCCCTTCGGCTGCATGACTGCCACCATCGGCCTCCCCACCTGCAGCCTCATCCCCGCCGCCATACTGCTGCTGCGCCGCCTTCAGGCGGGCTGCCGACACGTTAACGGCGCCGCCCCGGCCTGTGCTGAACCCGAGCACTTGCACCTGCTCTTCTAGGTGTGCATCGGCTGGCCGCTGCTGGTTTGTGCATGCCGCTCCCTGCTGCGCCTCGTGTCCTTGGCTGCCAGCATCGGCATTCTGTCCTGCTGCGACATTGTCGCCTCCGTACTGCTGCTGTGCCGCTTTCAAATGGGCCGCGACACCTTGACAGCCCCCCCGCGGCCAGTAGTGAACCCAAGCACATGTACTTGCTGCAGCCGAGGAGGCTCGGGCGCTGCTTCCGGCTGGTGCTGCTGTGGCGGCGGTGGCGGCTGGTGCTGCTGTGGCGGCGGTGGCGGCGGCTGCTGCTCAGCGGCGCCGGATGCTGCCGCTCCTGTCTCTGCCACGACCTTGGTGGCGACTTGCCCTGCTCCTGCAATCACTGCTTGGTGGCGGGGGAAGGCAGATCTGCCGCCTGCTGCTCCTCCTCACTCTCGCCACCCTTCTCCCTGCCTCGCTTGCTGCCGGATAGCGGCGCTGTTTCTCCAGCCATTGGCTCTGCCTCTGCCATGGGCGTGTCTTCTGCTTCACCCACAGCAGCGCCTGCCTCCCCTGCCGGCTGTGCCGCCTGCTGCTGCTCCGGCGGCGCCTGTGGCTGGTGCTCCTGCTGCTGTGGTGGGTCGTGGCCCCCCGGCTGCTGCAGCTGCCGCTGAAGCGGGCACTGCCTGTCCCTCAGCGCCGCAGCCTCTGCCGCCTGCAGCTGCCGGGCCTGGAATGCTCCAGCAATGTGGACAACGGCAGTATCTGGAGTTGCACATCGACTCTCTTGAGCAAATGCCTGAATGTTTAGCTTAGATGTTCATCAAACCCGAAGCAGTGCCACATGGAGTCCAGCTGGTGCCGAGCTGGTCACTGGCTCCGCCCTTGGGGATTTACGGCGTTCGGCAGCCGACTACCATTGTCATCATTTCAACCCTGAACCTCTGCTGCGCAGGGGGCACACTCTCCAGCCGTGCAGGCTGGAGGGCTGCCGAGCTTTGCGTCCCGGCCATGCTCGCTCGCCCCGCAACCCCCACAGAGTTTGAAAGCGAGGCCGCCAAGCGCGAGTACTGGTTGCGGCGATGCGGAGAGTCGCTAGCTGCATATGACGCTGCTTTTGCGCGCCTCGCCAAGATAGATGCGAAAAAGAAGGCGGACGCGGACGCGCAGCGCGCTGCGGAGGAGCAGAAGGCCCGCCTAGCAGCCTTCCAGGAGGCGCAACGCGCCGCGGCGAGAGTGGCCCGAAGGCCGCCGCCCGGTGAGTTGATGTGGGGCCCGCCGTGGATTGATTGTTGTAGTGGCACCGCCCGTACTCACTGTCCGCATTCATTGGCGTGTTTAGCATGGGCTTGCTCCAACGTGCATTCAAGGCACATCTGAACTGCTCACCGCTGGCCACCTGCCACCCCGCCTGCAGCCGTCGACGAGCGCAAGAAGAAGCAGTGACGCGGGCTAGCCATGGGGATCCAGTCACCTCCATTGCGCGTTTCTCTTGCACAAAGCTTCCCCTGTCCGTCCCTTTGCTGTCCATCCCTTTGGTTGCATGCCGCACTCTCACACTTTGTGAGTGCTGCGCCAATCCGCCGCTGCATTTGTTCTACAAGAGTGTTGCCGCTGTTCATGTCCTGATTTCATTTTTGCATCTGGGATGCCTTTAGAATGTGAATCCACCCAGTGATGCCAGCCATCAGCAGGGCGCTGCGAAGGGGCTCATGCCGCCTGTCATCAGCTGGCGTGCCATGGATGGCTACCACTGCAGCTCAAGTGCACCCAGCGAGCCAGCTGAGGAGACTCCTGCTGCATACTCCTGCTGGCCAGGATCTTCAGGCTGCTGCGACTGGGAGGATTGGAGTGCCGTCTGACTCTGCGCCGCCCTCGTAAAGACGCCAGGGCCCGGGCGGAGGGTCCACACTGCAAACTACTTGGGGCTGGGACTGAAGCTGCTGTCACCCGCTGCTGGTTCTTCGCGGCAGAGCTGGGAGCTGCGGCCGCTGGGGAGCACCTTCTGCCTGCCTACCGCTCCACACCAGCGGAGTCAGGTCCTTGGGCTGCAGCGGGCAGTCTGTCGATGAGCCTGACCAAGGTGGGTGTGGCTGGCGGTGGGGAGGTGGCGCGGTTAGTTTCCATCTGTGGCTGGCTGGCTGCCCCTCCAAGGTCGCCTTCAAGCGCTGCCCCGCCTGCTGGGCATGCCCCCCTTTCCACCTGGATGGGGCTCAGATTTGCTGCCCTACTCACAAAGTAGAAGTTATAGTGTGGTTTTACTTTCAAGTGGGCCCAGGATGGAAGAAGTCGCCCAAGCTCATGCTGACATTATGGCAGAACTGGTTGGGCTCTTGCCTGATGGCCCGCGGGTGGATATCATTCTGCAGCATTTCAATGGCTTGGCTGTTGATGGTGCAGCCGCAGCACTGCGGGTGGCAGAGCTGGAGGAGCTTCTGGAGGCCAGGAGCTTCTGGAAGCTCGCAGCCGCTGTCTCCAAGTGGTGCAGCAGGCTGCTCAGCGGGCTGCT